TCATCCTAGTTATAAGGGCAATGAAAATAAGTGTGGAGTTACAAAAAAAAAAAAAAAAAACTGTGTTTGAAAAGAATTTATCATTTCTAGGCTCCGATGAAAAAGCATCCAAAAGTTAGTGGGAACTTATAGATGTGATTGTAAAGTACTACCAGTAATTTTTGAGGGACCAGAAAACAGAAAAGGTGTCAGAACAGTGAGCCTGGGAAAAACTCTAAAATTTAAGGGAGTATATTTGGATTCGGGAAGCCACAGACCAGGGACTTTACCTTGTAATTCTAAAAAATTTCTGAAATGAACTGTTAAACAATGTTTTAAGTCAGAAAGCCATGCTCATTATGAAGACATGAAGAATTATGAATTTAGAAGAATTAATAAGTCAGAATAGATGCCCTGTTCTGTCTCCCTCACTGTGTGCATAGCCAGGGATGCCCTGCTCATTGCCCCTCTTGGACAATGCTTAGGGCAGGAAAACAATCATAGTATTAAGCTTTCAAGATTGATCTGATTCTACCTAGGCAAGTTTACACACGTCATCAGGAGAGCAGGCATACAGGCACCCATACCAATATGTAAAACACGAGACACAGCACAGACAGGCATGTACGTGATCTTTCACCTCAGTGGCCAAGTTGGGAGAGAAACAAGAGGGCCGCAATACCTAGCAATACTTTGCTATTACAGTAAATACTAATAGAGAATAATGACAGCCTCTATGAACATAATTCCCTTGGGAGGGAGAAGGAGCCTGATGTGTTTAGGAAAGTATAGCTCTTTCTGTTCCTAGCCAAGAAACCACTTCCTGAAGACTGCCCTGACCCCCAAAGCTGTACACACACCTTCACGGCCCTGCGGTTAACTCACAGCATAGCACCTACAACCTTCTGTTATAATCATCTGTTTACTCATCTGTTTTGCTCCTTCACTCAACTTTCAGCTCCATGATGATAGGGGCAGTCTTGTTCACAGTTGTATCCATAGCCTGGCAACAGCAGATAATAAATGCTTGCTGACTGGTAAATGTATGATGTTTTGTAAACCACATATGGTATTCTGTCAACTCACTAGAGTCTCTCCTTCCAAAAGGCTGGGTGACTAAGCTAGGGGTCAGATCTACCTCACAAAAAAGGTGCATCGTTCATGAACAAGTTACCAGCACCTCTGTAGGACTCTGCATGGCCCAAGGGGGCACTCAAGTGTCCTTTTGATAGGTATCTCTGGGTCGGTGTAAGATCTATTCTAGACTAAAACTCTTAGTACCCCAAAGCCAATTTAGGATATAGGAATAAAGGTGACTAGACATCAGATAATTGGGATTCACGGATGAGCCAGCAGTCCATTCCAGTTGTGGTGATGCTTTCTTGTTCTTTATTCATTTGTTCATTTATTTAGTATGTAATGAGGCTTTTTTTAAATCAGAGATTTATTGATCACCTGCAGTGCTCTAGGTTGCTGGGAATATGCTTCCAGGGCATTCACGTGGTGATAAGGAAAAGGGACAAATGTACTTCCAACTTTGTATTAGACTGGGTACTCTAAACACATAAATAAAGGGCTGTGGGGCCACAGGGGATGATAACTGTCCTGAGCATTGAAGACTGGATGGCAGGAATTTACTAGCCAAGGCAGGGGAGAGGGAGGAGAGCAGCATCTCAGAGAAGCAATTTGTAAGCTGCACTTTTCCTCTTCAAGGGACTCCAAAACCTATTGTGTAAGGGCAAGCCAGCCCTTCTCCAGTGTGCTCTGCAGGAGGGAGCTGTGACCCTTCAACTGAAGGCTAGGTTTGAGTTATCAGCACATGGATTCATATAGCTCCCCATTCTGATTCAAGTACAATTAATCTAAAAAATAACTTTAAAACTTGAAAAACTTGTGACTCTGGTCATCTGGATTCTGAGTAAAATTTTCATAAATATGATATTATGACAAATTGAATTAGTAACAAGTCTCAAATAGAAATATTTTATAAATATAGTTTTATTACTTGGAAATACATACAAAAATGTAAACACAGCTAAAAAACAATTGCCAAGCACAAGTCCTATCCAACCTGTTTTAAGGAACACATAAAACAGTTATAATCAGCATAAAACAATTTAAATCCTGAAACAACATATTTGGGGGTTGGAAAGTCTTCAGGGTCTTTAAATATCGGGCTTAAAAATTGGTTATTGTTTTATTCTTTATACCTATTTAAATTCTTCCCCCCAAATACAGACCACTAATGTTTCAGTTTGGTTCATGAGATGTTTTATTTAGAAAAATAGCTAAAGCCATATAACTATAATTATTTTGAAAACTGGAATACCTTTTGTCCATTTCCAGTCTTCTGTCACCCTGCATTCTCCATGGTTTCTCAAAAATTCCCAGTAGTTGCTAACAAAGTATTTGCAACTTCCAGCAGCTCTCTGGGATACCGAAGTTTGGGCCTAAGAGCCCTGAAATTATTTAAGGTGGCAAGAGTTTTTTTACTTCTCATTTTTGTGGTTTTATGTCATTTTATTTTTGTCCATCCAGACTATATCTCCTTGTCAGAGAAAAAATGGAGTTATTCTGCTTTTCCTGTTAATCCATTACACTGCTTTATCCATTCTTTTTGCCCTCGGGGTTTCTTTTAAATGCCTTTTTGGCAACTCTAGCATTTTATGCAAATGTAAGCTCATTTTGAGCTTTAACATTTCAAACACTTTTATATTTCTCTCCTCTTTTTGGCCTTTTCATGCACGTTTTTCCTTCTTTTGTACACGATCTTTGACAACTTGACTTCATCAGAGCTCTCTCTGAGATGCTCTAAATGCCTATTTATCTATCTTCCTCTCTCGGTTCATTTAACTTTTAAAAAATGTTCAGAATTTCATCTAAAGAAAGTTTTCCTCCTCTTATGGTCCCCTCAGTACTGGAACAATTTTTGAAAAACTAGAAAAGGTAGCGGGCTGACAAGCAGAAGGGCCTGCTTCTGGTTTTGGTTTTGTCACTCAACCGTGCTCTTCACTCTATCTTGCATCCCCTCTCTCCACAGCTGACGAGCCTGAGGCCCAGAGTAGATTGGATAAAATGAGAAGACCTCCACCTGTAATAGTCTCTGATTCATGGTTCAGACAGGAAGAAGTCTCAATTGTGAGTTCTAGATTCCTGGAAGTTCTCTCTGTACATCCAGCTGGTCGCAAATCCCCATGGAATCTACATCTTGGCCATCTCTTGTATCTGTTCTCCATCTCTGCTGTCACTGTCTTAGTTCTGGCCATTCTCTCTGCTGGACTCATTTTATCATACTTAGACCTGCGGCCACAGTATTCTTTCTCAAATTTAAATATGAACGTACTTCCCTGCTTAAAATCTGTTGATGGATCTTCGCTACCTGTAAGATACAGTACATATCCCTTAGCTTGGCATACAAGGCCCTGCACAATCAGCTCTCATTTCTTTCTCCAACTTCCTTCCTAGTTTTCCTAGCCACAGGCCTTCCCCACCCCACCCCCCCATGCACTAAGCCCTATGGCAAGAACTTGTTCTCTCTAATGCATGTTGCTGTTTTGCACTTGAGCTTGTTAATGACTTTTTATGAAATTGGGCACCAAGTTCTGAATGAGTGCTGAGCCTTTCGGATTACAGAAATTACCTAAGGTCACTTTGCATCTCTCATTCATTCAATAAACATTTGATGATGACTACTAAGTGTCCAGAAATGCTAGACACTGGAGATACAGACATAAAATTCAGTATTCTTGCCCTCAATGGCTTCACAGTCTAGAGAAGACAGCGACAGTGGCAGGGCTAGAGCCTAAGTCCCCACGTGCATGAATGCTAAATAATGCAGCCTCAAATCCACTCCCTTTTTTAACAGCCAGTCAGTTATCTTAGATCACATTGATCATGTGCTCCTTGAGGCCTTTTTCATAATAGCTACTCTCAAGCCAGCCCTCTGCAACCCAATACTTGAGTGTTATTATTTTTTAAAGCCAATTACAAGATTACAAGTTTATTCCAGTTAATTGTATGTGCTGCTTTTGATTTGGTGTGCTAGCTTGTTGAATGTTTGTGAATTTTCATTCTGACCACCTCAGGTTTGGTCCATCCTCTGATCTGAAGACTACAACTCTGATTTCAAAGTTGTTGATTAAAAGCAATGACGAGAACAGAACTAAGGCCCAACCTTTAGGAAGCTCTGTGCTTTTCTAGTTAATCTGGTAAAATATACTAAACATGCCCCTTATCACCTTATTATTAACAACATTTATTACTGTGAATGTAATGGTAGATAAGTCATGCATAACTAAGAAATCTAGGCTGCTTTTTAAAAATAACAATCATTAAATATCTATTATAAATATTCACTTTATTTTAAAAGAATTGGAAGATGTTACATATATTACATACTACATATAATGGCACATGTCAGCCTTTTAAGATTAAAAATAATCTTTCCCCAAACTGGGGCTGACTTAGACTCGACTCCAAGTATAAAATGACTCTTGGCCTATAGCACCAACCCAGGCCCAGAGGAAGGCCAATTTTGAACCTGTCTGTCCTCTGGCATTGGGCTTCCTGATATGATACCGAGGGTCTTCACCCTCCGGTTTTGTTCCCTGGCAGTACTGAGGCCTGACACAGGGACCCATTTGACTGTACACTGCAGGCCTGGGATATCAGGGAATCTAGAGGGGGAAGGGGCCTCTAACAATTTTACAATGGAAAAAACTAAAAATGTATGTATGTGCCTTATTGTCTTAGTTTTTGATCTATACAAGTATAACAAGACTCGACAAGATAGAAGAAGGTTAGAATTATTGAAATACAATTGCTCTGCTGGTTTTCCTCTTTGGAAATTGAAGTGTCATGATAGGAAGAGCCTTAAAAGTCAGTTCAATACTGGTAACCTGCTCCACTAGTATCTCCCTTTCCCAGATTTAGGTATAATTCAAAGTTTTAAATGCCATCCATATGCCACTTTGTTAGACAAACACAGAGAAATTTAATAACACTTTTCATTCTCTTTTTCCTAAATCATAAGGACAATTGCTGCCAAATGTTCTGGCTTATGGCTCTCCTCCTCTTCATAGTATGTTTAAGTTACACATTAAGAATCCAAAAAATACCACTATGGAATTTTCATAAGCACTATCCGACCAGTCAGTAAAACACAGTACACAGTGTGAAAATTTTAATTTATTCCCCTCCCAAGTATCCAGAATATATACCCCCTTAGTTTTGAGAAATGTGATAATGAAAATACCAACAGAATTGATCATATGTAAAGAAAAGAAAGAAAAGCACATACTACACAGGAAACGTCCCTAAGTCCTCCCTAACCTAGTAGAGTGCAAGTTAATGTTATGTTTCTGGCAATGTCACCTTTCACTTGATTTATAAAAATTTTACAGGACAGATTTAAAGCAAAGATAGGCCTCTGATTTTTATTTGTTTTTAACCCTAGCAGATTTTTAAAAAGAGGCTATATTAAATGACAATGCATTTTGAGTCAGGGGGAAAAAAAATTAAAAACCCAAAACTTGTTTCAGTTTATTCAAAATAAAAATACACACAGAATTATGAAAATATAGGTTTACTATTTCCTCCACGTTAAGTTGATGCTGCTGTTTGAAAGGCTTGCAAATTGTTTTTCAAGTTTTTAAAGCTCATCTCGATCCCTCAATAAAGTATACCTATATTCGCTGGGTGCTAGTTTCTGGAAGGAGCTCTCAGGTGGACTGCTTGCTACATCTTGCACTTGCTACAAGAGAAAGAATAACACATTTTTATATCAATATATTTTATGGAGTTATAATATTCAATAAGAGTATTAGATGAATGGTAGTTGCCCTGTAATTATTTGCTTAATAATCAATACAAGATAGCTACTGTGTGCCAAAGAAAAGAGTTAAGTTTGAAATCTTGCTTTCCCCATTTCAAATGCTCTTACCCAGATCTCCGGGGCAGGGCTGCCACAGAGCCATTAGCTATGGACCTGTTGACCCATAGCCATTAGCTATGTTCCTGAGGTGTGGTGGAAGGAAACAAAATACCTGACACCTGGGTGCTTTCCTAGACTATTCTGTAGAGGCAGCACCACCCTAAGTTGGCCCAAACCCTTCCCTTTTACAAATGACTAAGAGAATTAAAGGCACCTACTCTGTAGATGGAGCTCTTATTTAGCAATTACCTTGACACCAGAAATTATCAAAACCTAGTTGAGATAAGGAGGAAACCAAACACTTCAATACTACATGAAATTAACTTCTGTAGTATTTTACTTGTGCACCAACAGTAGACAGAAATAACACAGTGGAAATGTAAGAGTGACTTCCAAGAATTTTAAAGAAGAGGCAGTGTAGTCTATCCTTCATCCTCACCCTGTGAAATCCTCAAGAGCAAACATGGTTGTCATTGTTTTAATATCCCCTGTAATTAACATGGGCACACAGGGCATATATTACATGCTATATATCATGGCACATTCTCATTACAAAGGGGAGGAATGTGTCTACAAACTTCCCATTTTACTTTGTCATGTTGTTCTTCCCCAATATATTTTTTAAATTTATTTTTTGCTGATATATGTTTGGTTTAATTAAGCTGAAATTATATTACTATAAAACAAATATGTATTTGGTGCCTACTATGTAATAGTATGCAAAGATGAATAAATAAAATACAAAGAGTTCATTGAACAAGTTAGCATAATACAATAAAAGTAAGCTACATCTTTTCCTAATCTGATAAAATACTAAGCAGACCTACTTCTCTGAGGAAAATAATCACCCTGGGTTATTGCCAACAAACAATTTCCCTGCTTCTATAGTTGCTTAATTATCAAAGAAAAATCTGACCTCAGATTTCAAGGAAAAAGCATGTCATCAGACTCCTCAAGGGAACTCTTGACTCTGAACATAATTTGACTCAAAGAAAAATTCACTTTTTTTTTTTTATGTGGAGGTTCTTTGGGAAAAATAGTAGATTAAAGTTCTCGGCATATGAAATAAGAGAGTTTTGGTATATGTCATCTTCCTTCTTAGTATAGTGGGAAAAGACATGATACAAATCGATAATACATCAAAATGCAAATTTAGGGGTGTTTAACAAAGCAGGAACAATAGAAATTACTTGTAACAGAAGTTACAAGGTAGAAATAGTAAAATTCCCAGGTTAAAAAATATATAAAGCAAATACAAAATTTTGATAAATAGTTGTCAAGCATTCTAAATCTCAAATGGACAAGCTGCATTAAACCATAAGTTTTGAGAGCATCATGAATACTGTATTGGTGAGGGCTCGTAGGATGGTTTAGCAAGAATACCAAACCATTATTTTCTTTAGTCTGCTCAGTCTCCCAGCCATTGAGGAAGGCTCGAACAATTAATGGAATCCACTGATTTCTTCACTGATCTACCTGCTTCCAATTCCTACCTTCTACTTCTATTTGAAGCCAACTGTATTTAATATAGCCATATTTTACAGAGAACATATACCACCTTAGTTTATATGATCAAGAAACTATATTGTAACATTCTTGCAACTTTTCTGAGGGTCTAACACTTTAAAAATTAATTTTAAAAGGAACATAATTTGTATGTTATCTAGAGTCTGTTCAGAATTTCTTTACAAAGACATTCAGGAGCAGAAACTCAAGCCTATGCAAGAGCTTTAGATCCTCTTCAAGACAAACTGAAAAAGAAGAAAACAGTTCCCACTGAAAAACACGAGTCCTACCTGTCCTGGGGCTGTATCGGTTGGGTCAGGACCATGATGGAATTCTCTGTGCAGTTTTCCAGAATGTAAGTCAAATACAAACTGCTTGAGTTTTCCAGGAATTCTAAAACCAAAGTCAAATAAGAATTTAGCTTAAACTGTTAAATGCACTTACCTCTATTTTACCAACTTCATAACACTAAGAAAAAAATTTTTTTTTTAAATTTTACCTATAATCCCACCATCCTACCATAACTATTACAAGCCACGTACAGTATATGTTGAACATTTTTACGTAATCATGGTATCTAGATACTCAGTTTTGTGTTCTAATTCTTACACTTGTTTCAGAGAAATTTTTCTATGCTTATCGTTTCAACAGATGCATTAGAGTCTGTCAAGATGCTGTCCTAAAAACTTAACCATCCTTATTGGGCATTTATTTATTTTCCTTAATACATGTAACTAAAAAACCTTATGTTCTGCAAAATCACACTAAAAATAACAGGGCTCAAGGGAAAGACAGGGTTAGGGGCTAACCACTTAAAACTATGTAGCTTTGTAACCAGAGTACTACTATGAGCCTAGAACAAATATATTAGCACCATTCAGCCTCCACCAACATTTGAGCCCTGTGTCAGCCAGGTGATCCTCTGTAGCCTTAACCAGGATCTTATAAGTCCTCTTTGAGATGCAAGTCCTTGAGGGATTCAGTGCCAGGAGAACCAGTTTTATCAAAATCATCTAAACCAGGGTGTAGTTTTTTCATGTTTTTTTCTTAGACACAGAGAAATTTCTTCACAACTTCCTCAACCACACAGGCAGCTTCACTGGACAGCTTAACATTGTGAAAAGCAAAGCACTTCTCAAGGCCATGAAACTGGCCCCTTTTTTTGGTAGGTCTTCATACACCACTAAGGCATCTCTTTAATGGTGAAAAAGCTTTCTTTGATGGCAGCAAAACACTCTGAGGAAAATAACATGAACCGACACAACTCACTTTATATTGACATCATTCCCCTAGTTACCAGGCATGGTATGAGCAAATCTGCAGTACAGAGACATGCACATTATAAAGCTAAGCAGATTTATACATCAGCCTTTCTTTGTAATTATTTCCTTGAGTTATATCCAATCAAGTAGGAGTACTGGGTTAAAGAATACAAAGTGTGGGCAAATTATACCTACAAAACATCAGTAGTTTTTGCTGCTACTTGTCTACCTATTTGTTGTTTGAAGTCTTGCCAGCACGTTTGTCTTTATTAAAATTTGTTTTGCTAATTTGATGAGTAAAAGACACCTGCATTTTAATTTCCATTTCTTCAGAAATTAAGCATTTTTTCTATTGTTTATTTTAATTTATATTTCTGCTCATATGAATTGCCTGTCTTCTACTGAGATGCTGGTATTTTTTTTAATTCATTATTTTAAATACAAACGCTTTGTTTTTCATATCTGTTACAAGAATTAAAATGCAGGTCCACCAACACTTTAATTCCTTCAGTAGAATTGACTTTTTAAATCATTATTTTTTGGTAGCAAAGAATAGCTGGCTTGTGTTAATATTACCATTTTCTTTTTCTTTTTATCCTCTCCTGAGGTCCTACAAGTGCTGTTTCTTCCCTTCAGTAACTCCCACTGCGCTGTACCAACCAGTGACTTCACTGCACACCCATTCTGGCTCCCCACCAGCCCCAATGCAGCAGAGACCAGCAGGTGCCAAACGCACAGTTTACAAATGCAAGTGGCTGTTAGGCAGCCGTATTGACAGGACGCCTCTGAAAGGTTCTCTGGTGCTGAAGAAATTGCACATGCACCAGAGATAAACACTGAGAGGAGATCAATTTAAATTTAACCTGACATCATCTACGGTCACCCACAGCAAAGTGCTAAAATATATCCATTCAATTCAAAGAATCATAAATGGTCTATAATGTTTAAGATAAAGCCCGTTAGTTGATTATGTTATAAATTATAAAGTCCAAAGATGATCACAACCAATACATTGTGAAGTGCTTCTGCTAGTCAAGAAATAATTTATAATTAAATCTTAAATGTAACAAATTCAGAGAGAACACTCAAAACAGATTTTTCCCTAACTTGATTTTTTTCCCCCGTCAACAGACGAGCAGAGAGAAAGAACTGTGAGCAAAAGGCAAAGACAAGGGAGACAGGATGAGTCTGAATTAATGTGGTAGAAACACAGACCACCAAAGGGTTCTCACCTAGCTTGTGGCCAGAAACTATCCATCATTATTAAGTAACAATCAGTGAATCAACACTATATTGTCAAGAAAACAGACCACATGGTTATCTGCTAAAAAGGAAAATAAATGGACCCTTGCCATAATAAATTCAATTATATTTTCACACTTTAGGGTACAGTTTTTCTAATTAGAACACCTAGGTGTTTCTCTCCCATCCTCCAAACACTTTTTTGTTGGTTTACAATCTCTATTTTTAGGTGATGCAAAATTTTGACACAGTGAAATGCACAAATGTTAAATGTATCATTAAACAAGCTCTGACAAATGCATACAAGGTGAGAAGTATTATTATTTTTAAAAATTTAGATACAGTAGAATTCACTTTTTTAGCCTGACAGTTCTCCTTTTTTAGGAGTTTTAACAAATGCATATAGCATCTTGTTACCACCTCCGAAGAGGATACAGAACAATTCCAACATCCTTTTTTGAGTCTGACCCTCCTCCTCCCCTCTAACTCCTGCCAACCCACTGATCTGTTCTCTGTTCCTTTAATTTGCCTTTTCCAGAATGTCATATGTATGGAATCATACAATATGTAATCATGAGACTGGCTTCTTTTACTTAGCATAACTGCATTTGAGATGCGTCCATTTTGTTGCATATATAACAATGTTTCTTTACTTATTGCTGAATAGTATTTCATTGAGTGAATATACCACAATTAGTTTACCCATTCACCCACTCAAGGACATTTGGGTTCTTTCAAGATTTCGGTGATTTTGAACAATGCTAATACCAACATTTGTGCACAGATTTTTGTGTGAACATAAATTTATTTCTCTAGGAAAAATACTGGATTATATGGGAGGTGTATGTTTAACTTTTTAAGAAACTGCCAAATTGTTTTCCAGAGTGGCTGTATCATTTTGCAATCCCACCAGCAATGCATGCAAGTTCCAGTTGCTGCACATCCTCACGAACACCTGTATTATCAGTATTTTAATTCAGCCATTCTAAAAGATGCAAAATAGGATCTCGTGGTTTAATTTGCATTTCTCTAATGACTAATGATGTGGAGCAGCTTTTCACGTGCTTATTTGCTATTTGTATATCTTCTTTACATTCTAACACTATCTTTTGCAGAACAAAAGTTTTTAATTTGATGAAGGCCAATTTATCAATTTTTTCTTTTATGGATGGTGCTTTTGGTGTTCTATCTAAGAACTCTTTGTCTAACCCCAGGTCATGAAGAGTTTCTCCTACATTTACTTCTAAGAGTTTTCTAGTTTTACTTTTCACATTCAGGTCTATGATCAATTCTGAGTTAATTTTTTATAGGAGGCATTCCTTTTTTGATATGAGGATCTTCAGGTGGTCCAGCACCATTTACTGAAAAGATTACCCTTCTCCACTGAATTGTCTTTGCACCTTAAAAAAAATCAATTACTATATTTGTGTGTCTATTTCTAGACTCTCTATTCTGTTCCACAACTCTATGTACCTGTTTTTCCACCAATACTACACTGTCTTAATAGTATGTCTTAAAATTGGGTAATATGAGTCCTCCAACTTTCTTTCTTTCTTAATGTTGCTTTGGTTATTCCAGTTTTACCTTTCCACATAAACTTTAGAATCAACTTGTCTATATCTACAGTAAATCTAGCTAAGATTTTGATTGAGATTGCATTAAATCTATAGATCAATTTGGGGAGAAGTGACATCTTAACAGTATTGAGGCTGCCAATCCATGAACACAGTATATTTCTTCATTTATTTTTCATTCGTTTCTTTCATCAGCATTTTACAGTTTTCAGCATACAGATCCTGCACATATTTTGTTAGTTCTTTTTTTTGTTTCCTTTGGAGCTATTATAAATGGCACTTCAAAAGTTTTTTGGTTTCTAATCATTCATTATTAGTGTATAGAAATAAAAGTGATTTTTAAAACGTTTATCTTGTATCCTACTAAAAACACTTATTAGTTCTAGGGGGTTTTTTTGTAAATTCATTGGGAATTTCTACATACATAGTCATGGCATCTATAAAGAAAGATAGTTTCTTCCCAGTCTGAACACCTTTTATTTATTTTCTTGTCTTAGAACTTGCAAGGACTTCCAGTATGATACTAAATAGAACTGATGAGAGTGGACATTATTATGAAAAACAGTAAAATACTTAGGAATAAATTTAGCCTAAGAGGTGAAAGATCTGTACACTGAAAACTATAAAACATTGATGGAAGAAGACACAAATAAATGGAAAGATATATGCTTCTATGAGTTCTGCTTTTTTAGATTCCATATATAAGTGAGACCATGCAGTATTTGTCTTTCCGTTTTTGGCTTATTTCACTTAGCATAATGTCCTCCAGGTTCATCCATGTTGTCACAAATGAAAGGATTTCCTTCTTTGTTAAGGCTGAATACTATTCCTGTGTGTGTGTGTGTACCACATTTTCCTTATCCACTCATCTATTGATGGACACTTGGGTCGTTTCTCTATCTTGCTATTGTGAATAATGCTGCAATGAACCTGAGAGTGCAGATATCTCTTCAAGATACTGATTTCATTTCCTTTGGGTCAAAAGTGGGATTGTTGGGTCACATGGTACCTATGGTAACCATCAGTTAGCAAGGACTAGAGGGAGCAGGGGGAAAATGTTGGTCAAACAATGAATAAATTCTGGAGATCTAATGTACAACAAGGTGAGTCTAGTTATTAATACTATATTGTATACTTGAAATTTGCTAAGAGTGCGGATGTTAATTGTTCTTCCCCCGCAAAAAAGTATGTGAGGTAATGGACATGTTAACTAGCTTGATTGTGGTCATTTCACAATGTATACATATATCAAAATGTGATGTTGTACACCTTAAATATATGCAATTTTTGTCAATTTTACCTCAATAAAGTTGGA